TCCGCAGAACTGGGTTCGGTGTGAAAAAGTATTTGTTGTTAACATTCTTTTTTCATTCAGTTTTTCCAGTTACGAGTCCTTTTTTAAAGCTGATCGTTTTGTGTTCATTTTGTTTAGTTCTTTTTTCGTAACAGATTTAATGTTTAGTATAGAGCTTAGAAAAAATTTGCAGTTTGAGATAGGCAAGAAGTAAGGCATGTAGCAACATCAGCACGGAAAAGGGCACTCCTTTAAAGGCAAGGAAGGGCAAAAATATTTTAAATCAAGTGATAGCGATTGCTGTATGAGTCGTACGATTTTTGAATCAAGCATGGGCAACGCCGGGCCATGCTGCTAGTTTTTCTATAAAAATGATTTGCAAATCTTCAGGTGATTGGAATTTCTAAACGAAACTTTTATTTCGTACATAGGAATAGATTGTTCTAGCTCCACGTGCCATGCCTCTTCCGGATGTTTCAGTTATTTCCCTTTAACCCAACTCTCCAACTTTTTAGGTCAGCACTGCTATGACCTGGTATGGCCCAGTGGATATAGACGTTGGTTAGATCAAGCGCATATACCCTTGGGGAAGATATGAATCAATCTCTTTTGCTCCCAGCTATGGATTAAATAACAGGACAGACTAGAATCAGTCTGGAGATCACTAAACTACAACAATGTTCAAGGCCCAAATCATTGAAATTACAAGGATAAATTTCCATAAATAAACCCAAAAGCTGAACTGCATGAAAGAAATATTCGCGTGATGGGTTCGTCGGGGAATTATATATTTAGAGTCCCTAAAATGTAATGAGACACTCATCATCATCATCAACATAATCGTCGTCGTCGTCGTCGTCATCATCATCATCAGATCGAGATTTCTTCTCGGATTCTCCTGATGCACACTTTGACCTTGACCTCTTTAATTCAAAGGTCAACTTTTACAGGTACACAGGTTAAGCATTGACATTATAATAATTAGTTCCATTTATCAAATGGATTCCATTAATCTAAAAAAAAAAAAAAACTGAAATTAGGACAAACCATGACACTTCTACGGAGTTGAATCATCTCCATTTCCTCCGTATTCCAAATTTAAGAAGAACAAAACTCAAACAGCTTTTTCTACAGAACTGTATATTGTGGAAGACACTTCTGCGTTGGTGCATCGATGCACACTTTAAACTTGACATCTTTAAGTGAAAGGTCAATTTTCACAGGTAATTAGGTTAAGCATTGCCAAATAATCTATATATTTTGGATTCAGATAAATGTCAAAGGTAAAGTCTAAGAAATGCTAACCTACAAAATTTATCATTATAACTATTAATAAGGCAGCACTTAAACAGTTTATTTGAATACTAAATAAATAGATCCCATTTTGATTAGGGGATGGTTAATTTTATTTTAATTAGTACATTACTGTGTCGCGGGGGAGGTAATTAGGATATTCTAAACCTCATCGATAGGACAATTAAATATAGATAAAAAGCTAAAATAAGCAGTTTTCGCGTTAAAGTCTCAGCATTGCAAAACACGTTAAATATAAAGAAACGCTAAAACGAACAGTTTCTTGGTTTTCACTGCAAAACGAGAAACAGTTAAAGTTCTGGCAAAGAATACCCTTAGGAATAAGTGATACTAATTCTTATTCTTCAGGTTGAGAATTCTTCTCGGATTCTCTTGATTCTCAGACATTGCTGACGGCAGGTCCTCCAGATGACATCCAGAGTCATCTACAAGTTGGTCAATGTAGGTGTGATGAGGTCTTTTAACCGATCTTTTGACGCGCAATGGGTTCCATAGGAGGGTATCACTCATATTTTAAGATTGTCAGATACTTCTTCTTCTACTTCTTCAGGTTGAGAATTATTCTCGGATTCCCTTGATAGGTTCCTTCCAACCATCTCTGTCAGACATCGCCGTCGGCAGGTCTTCCAGATGGCATCCAGAGTCATCTACAAGTTGGTCAATGTAGGTGTGATGAGGTCTTCTAACCGATCTTTTGACGCGCAATGGGTTCCATAGGAGGGTATCACTCATATGTTAAGATTGTTAGATACTTATTCTTCTACTTCTTCAGGTTGAGAATTATTCTCGGATTCCCTTGATAGGTTCCTTCCAACCATCTCTGTCAGACATCGCCGTCGGCAGGTCCTCCAGATGGCATCCAGAGTCATCTACAAGTTGGTCAATGTAGGTGTGATGAGGTCTTCTAACCGATCTTTTGACGCGCAATGGGTGCCATAGGAGGGTATCACTCATATGTTAAGATTGTCAGATACTTATTCTTCTACTTCTTCAGGTCGAGAATTCTTCATCGATTCTCCTGACTCGTTCCTTCCAACCATCTCTCTCAGACATTGCTGTCGGCAGGTCCTCCAGATCGCATCCACAGTCATCTACAATTTGGTCAATGTAGGTGTGATGAGGTCTTCCAACTGATCTTTTGACGCGCAATGGCTTCCATAGGAGGGTATCACTCACATGTTAAGTTTATCAGATACTTATTCTTCTTCTTCTTCAGGTTGAGAATTCTTCTCGGATTCTCTTGACAGGTTCCTTCCAACCATCTCTGTCAGACATCGCTGTAGGCAGGTCCTCCAGATGGCATCCACAGTCATCTACAAGTTGGTCAATGTAGATGTGATGAGGTCTTCCAACGGACCTTTTGCTGTGTAATGGGTTCCACAGGAAGGTGTCACTCACAAGTTCTGACTTATTTCTCCAGGAGTAACCAGCTAGCCGAAGCCGCCTTCTCTTTTTTAGGGAAACTGAGGTAGGAGCAAGTGTCCATACAGGCGTTTCTTTGTTAGACCTTTCTTCCAGCTGATGTCCAGTTTAGTTCGTAACATCCTTGTGCATGTTCCGTCAAGTGATGCTTCTTGGTATTTTGTCAGTGTCCATGTTGTTGAGCCGTAGAGCAAGACAGATTCTACCGCGGCCTTAAAATAGTCCCTCTTAAGATTGTCAGAGAGGAAAGACTTCCAGATGATGCTCAGACCATCTAGGACACCCCAAGCTTTGCCTTTGCGGATTTTGATGTCTCTCTCTGTTGACTGAATTTTTCTGCCGAGGTTAACAAATTCCTGGGCGGACTTGATATTGTTGCCGTTTTTCAGCTTAATTTCTCCTTCGTTCTAGTAGATAAATTCTGTTTTGCCAGCAGCATTAGAAACCAATCTCGCTGGCCGTTTCTTCAATGAAATGGAAAGTTTGGTAGCCTATCAATCGTGTATGACAACAAGGCAAAGTCATCTGTGTAATGTATTAAAGGAGATACTAAATGCACATTTATATTTCTAGCAGCTGAAACGCCTCCATAATAAAAAAAAAAATTCCGCTTGTTGGCTATTGCAACACGCGAAGGCTTCCTTATATTGCTCGATTCAGTAGTTGCAGCAACGGAATTAATCAGCAGGGTTCATCCGGAAGTCCCGAAACTCTGACCGAGCCTTATTCGGTCTCTCTTTTCCACTTTTTCTTTTCATCGGCCGCTATTTCTAGGCCAGCTCGAAGGACCCACCCACAACTCTTACCGCAGAAGGCACGTGACTTGTCGTGGCAGCTCGATCTGAAATTTAACGTTCCACGGGACACTTAACCGAAGGGGAAAATACTCACAACCCTAGCTGCAGAAGATACGTTTCAGTTCAAACAGTGTGACACTCCGATTTCTCGTTCCTCGTGGGGGCATGTGGCATTAATCTCTTTCTCTCCCTCCATCCCCCTCTCTCTCTCTCTCTCTCTCTCTCTGCGAAACATCTATTCAATCGAAAAATTTTCTTAACTCAGAAACACATTTCCCGCAAAATACCACTATTTTGTGATCTCTTTCAACCCCAACTAAAGCTGTTGAAGAGTTATTTCGAGCTTTGGATTTGTTCATTAGACTCTATACATACACGCGCGCGCGTAAGTGTGGAAAATTCCTCCAATAAAGGTTTGGTCGAAAAGCTCCCTGAGCTCATCAATAGGTAAAACATTCTCCTCCAAGACAAAAATACCATTTTGGAACTGGGCGGGTCTGTTCTATCTTTCCTACATTTTACACCTGGCCTTGCACAAACTAATTACCTTTCTTGATCGCTACAAAAATACCTTAAGGGCGAAAACGTTCTCTGAAGAAAACAGATTAAAGAGTTCCTCGAAACCTTTTTCACATCACAGTCTCCGGGTTTCACTCAGAGAGTTGACAAATAAGTATAGGGTGACCCCAAAAAACGGGAACTTTTTAACAATCCAATAAAACCAAGAGTGATGGAAGAAAAATATTTTATTCCTAGTAATTGAAACCATGCCATTTAAGAAACAATGATGGAATTTTCATTTTTTAAAAATTACGTCCTGTAGATGGCGTCCTCCTGTACAAATGCATTCTTGAAATCTTCTGTTGAGATTCCACATTGACTGCTGCAACATCTCAGCTGTGAATTTCATCTTGAATTGTAAATGGCAAAATGTTTACTTGCTCAAGGTCATTGTCTCGCAGTATTGCCACTTGCTCATGTCTGGCAATACGCACTTAAAAAATTCCCGTTTTTTTGGTCACCCTGTATAAAGAGGTCATTGCAAATAATGGTGGATAAAATATAATTTATTTTTAAATAATAAATTAAGAATATTATTTCATTATGTTCGCAAGTTATCTGTTCTACAAACATTATTAGCCGTCATATTTATATTAGGTGATGACTGAGTAATTTCCGTTTTGAAGAAGCAATTTTAATGACAAATGTATCATCCTGGCTACTAATCAGACGTGACACTTTGAGCACCTTGTAGTCGTGTAATGGTTAACAAGCTTGTGACCTTGTGCCACATCTAAGGCTCGCTTAGAAAATCACCATGAACGTTAAATGTGATAGACTAGCATTCTAACAGATAGATATTGAGCGGACACAGATAGATAGATAGATAGATAGATAGATAGATAGATAGATAGATAGATAGATAGATAGAGAGGTAATGAGCGGACATATCTATCTATCTATCTATCTATTTCTCTCTCTCTCTCTCTATATATATATATATATATAGAGAGATAGATAGATAGATAGATAGATAGATAGATAGATAGATAGATAGATAGATAGATAGATAATAAGCGGACATAGATTCGTCGGACTATTATTCATTTAGAATTCTTAATTTGCAATGAAACACTAAATGCACATTTATACAGACAGCAGCTACAACGTGGCTATAAATGTTTGGCTGAAAGACGCCCTGCGCCCAACTATAGGAAAAAATGATTGTCCCCCCCCCATGCAAATGCAAAGCCGCATAGAGAAAGAATAAAGCAAGATAAAAAATTGCCATTCGATTCATGTGTTCTGCGACAGCCGCCATATTCGCCCCCATATTCTGTGACAGCCGCCATATTCGCCTCAACTAATCAATCATTACTTTTTTTTCGAAAATGTTTTGGCGGGGAAAACATTCTGTTATGAAAAGCAGATTTTAAGGTCCGTCGAAATTTTACTCCAAATCCATCGAAGGCCTGACCGATAAGTGTCAACAAATCATTGCAAATAATAGTGAATAGATAACTGAATGGCATTGTATTTCTTTTTTTTTTTATGAATGAAGTTGATAATCAAAAACGGAAATGATTTATGACTGAAGCTAATAAATTTCCCTCTTTCTTAATGGGACCTTGATTGGACGCTCGATTCATTCATAATTACGTGTACGCTCGTTTTTTACACTACGATCAAGAAGCGAAGGTTATTCCCAGGAAAAGAACTAGTGTTATCGACCTTTTGGCGCGGGATTGGATGCAGAGTTCAGGAGACAAACAGCGTACATGATTGGCTGGAACAGTTTCAAACTCGGCCTGATTGACACGATTGTTTATAAAATTCGCAAATAACAGATTCGAACCAAGTCATTAAAATCGTCAAGTCGATTAAGCACGCTCTCAAGTGCTAATATAATAAAATCGATAACCGCCACTTCTGCTATTAAAGCACTTCACCTAACAGCTTCATCAGTAAGTAGCTGAAGTACCCGTCTACTTCAGGTCAGGAATTCGATTAGGGCTAGTTATAATGACAGTAAAATGGTTCCTTAGAACTGTCAGGGTCATGTTATACGAAACATATGGATAATATAAAATCCTGAAATGTGATCCCGCATTAATTCAAATACGAAGGTGAATGAAACGAAAAGTATCGTCGAAAATTGTGCATCTCCTCATAATTTTCTTACTGTTGGTATTCATATGCATCAAATGTGATTTTTACCAATACTGGTCCTGCACAGTAAATCGCGTAATAGCAATTATTCTCCTGGAATTTTCCGTGTCCCTGGCAGAGATAGATAGATAGATAGATAGATAGATAGATAGATAGATAGATAGATAGATAGATAGCAGTTCTTCTACTTGAATATGCCGTGACCCTGGCTGTGATAGATAGATAGATAGATAGATAGATAGATAGATAGATAATGAGCGAACTGAGATAGATAGATAGATAGCAGTTCTTCTACTTAAATGTGCCGTGTCCCTGGCTGTTATAGATAGATAGATAGATAGATAGATAGATAGATAGATGAGTAGAATGAGATAGATAGTAGTTATTCTTGAATGTACCGTGCCCCTGACTGAGACAGATAGATAATGAATTAACATAGATAGATAGATAGATAGATAGATAGATAGATAGATAGATAGATAATGAGCGGACTGAGATACATAGATACATAGCAGTTCTATTTGAATGTGCCGTGTCCCTGGCTGAGATAGATAGATAGATAGATAGATAGATAGATAGATAGATAGATAGATTTTTAGATTGTTTTTGTCACCTGCCTTAAGTAGATTCTGTGGGAGTACTTGTACTTTCCTTTCTGTGTCAGCCATTAACAGTGGCATCTGCATATCTTACGTTGTTAAGATTGTGGCCGCAATTAATTTTCTCAGAATCGCCTCATTGCATAGATTGAATAAATCTAGTAAGTAGATACACTTTTGGCTTACATCACTTTCTATTTTTGTACGTAGCATAAAAGAAAAAAACAAAAAACAAAACAAAAAAAAAACAGTGAATTTCTTCCTGGTTAATTTCCAAAGAAAAAAAATGACTATGGAAACTTCGTGCTGGGTAAGACGATAAACTCCATCCGGCATCACGGCCTCTGATCAAAAGACTCGAGTTTTGACGTCTTAATTAGTTTTTTTTTGTTTTGTTTTTTTTTTTTTTTGCTTTTTTTACGAATTGGTCAAACCCAAACTCAAACAAAAACATTGTTTTCAATAGTTATGAGTCTACTGATTGAATAGAATTTTATTATAAATAATTGTCTTGTCAATGGAATTTTAAAATCATTCTGAATGTAAAAATAAACAAAAAAGTGTGCAAGACAATAAGAAACACTAGCTACCAAAAAAAAGTCATGTTTTGTTGAAATCGGTTGAAAAATGTAGGAAATCCGATCCCATATATATAAACACACACACACACACACACACACACACACACACACACACACAACCAAACTGGGTTTTATAATAAGTATAACTCAATATGAGTTGTCTCCCTTTCATTAATGCCTCTTAATCGTGTTTTCAAATTGATTTCGTGCAAAAACAATTGTGTTTTTCCAATTTTTGGCGCTGCCAGAACCACCACAAGGTAATTTTACGTAGTCCTGTGAAGTTTTGTTGAAATCGGTTGAAAAATGTAGGAAATCCGATCCAATATCTAAACGTACAGACACACACAAACACACACACACACACAACCTGGGTTTTATAATAATAATAATAATAATCTCAAGGAAAAAAATTAAGTAAAGAAGCCCTTTTGATATGTCACGTATATTTTTGTCCGAACATAGCAATAAAACAAAAATAAAATAAAATACAAAAAAAATAGTTAAATATTCTTCTTTTGCTGACAGATTTATTTTAACTCCAGTGGCAGTGGAGACTTCTGGGGTTATTAGCCCTCGTTCGATAACGTTCTTTTGGAGGGTTGGCGGCAAGGCGTCTCCATTGAGGGTAAAGCCTCGCAAAACAGAGTGGCTCTTGCAGCGTGTCACACTGGTGATGACGCGAGGTAATGCTTTCTCCATCATTGCCGCTGGCAGAGGATAACCAAAAAAAAAAATTGTTTATAGATAATTTGTTCAAACAAAAACTTTCTTTCAATAATTAAAATAGATATATATACCGAAAAATGTTAACTGTTATTTGCGTCTCCCTTTTCGTGCGCATGCGTAGAAGTGTCAATGTTAACAAAGCCGAGTCCAATGAAATGCTAACGGCTGAATCGCGTCACAAAAGCCTTTCCGGTTTGTCATATTTTTTTTTCTAAATAACTGTTACTTATAAAAAATTTAACTGCCTATTAAATCTTAAACTATTGTGCCAAATAATAAAAAAACTAGTTAGTGGGAATATAAAGAGAAAAGAGAACATGTGTTTGTCTTCACACTAAAGTTAAAATAGGCGCATATTAGAAAACTAAAGCGCTGTGTAAAATTTTTAAGAAAAATCACGACAGTATAGACAAAAAAGATGCGAATACAAAATTTGCAGAAAAACTTCCTTTTGTGCGGCTATTAAAGCAGTATAATAACTTTTGATACTATTTACATTATTCGGACGATTGTCCTCATCTTTGTCGCCATATTTATCACAACGTCTCGGCCGTTGTAAGCTCTGGCCTTCTTCAGGCGGTTGGAATGCCTAACTGAACCCTTTATTTCGCTCACTGGGGTAGACTGTTCCACGTGCCATGGCTAATGGATGTCAGTTATATCTCCTGTTAATTCCCCTCTCCAAGTTCTCCACCGCATTAACCAGGTATTGAACGCACACTCTTTGGGTCCTGTCACAGGATCGAACTAACGCTTTATCCACTGTGCCATGTGTCTACCGCAGTGAGCGAAATAAAGGGTTCACTTCGACATTCCAACCACCTGAAGAAGGTGGGAGCGTACAACGGTCGAAACGTTGTGATAAATATGGCAACAAAAATGAAGACAATAGTCCGAATAATGTAAATAGTGTACATAATACCTCTTCTTAGAAATATAGACAGATACTGAAAGGCCGAAATGTTGTAATAAATATGGCAACAAAAATGAGGACAATAGTCCGAATAATGTAAATAGTGAACATAATACCTCATCTCTGAAATATAGACAGATACTGAAAGGCCGAAACATTGTAATAAATATGGCAACAAAAATAAATACAATAGTCCGAATAATGTAAATAGTGTACATAATACCTCATCTCAGAAATATAGACAGATACTGAAAGGCCGAAACGTAATAAATATGGCAAAAAAATGCGGACAATAGTCCGAATAATGTAAATAATGTACATAATACCTCATCTCTGAAAAAAAAAACGAAAAAAAAAAACAAAAAAAACCAAAAAAAAAACAAAAAAAAAGAAAAAAACAAACAAAAAAACGAACCTTTTAACCGTCTCTCGAGTGTCTTAGAGATATATAGCAATTTTTGAAATCTCTTTTTTTATGCACACTGTACGTATTTCACTGAGGCGTTTGGGAAATTTTAATTGAATTCGTTTTTTTTTTGCTTCTTGTTCGACTGCAAGAGAATTTTCGCTTGTGAACTTCAAAATGTCCTTCGGTTATCTGCAGCTGGCTTGTAACTTGAATAACTTGATAGCTAGCTGCTTTCTATTTTGGTCTCAAAATCCCTTTAAGATTCAATGCATATAAAATACACAAGCACAAAAAGGGAGACTGGTTGAGGCTGGTCGTCATTCATATACCTAAATAATCAGATTCCCGATCCATTCACTCGTTACAATTTCCACATCCACCACGAGAATTCATTCTTCAACAGTCAATTCTCCATATACCATAATACCGCCTGCACTCAGGGAACCTACAAAACGCATGCCATGACTTAAAAAAATAATTTGCATATAAAATCTGTACGTTATACGTAATAAGGGGGGGGGTGTTATGGGGTCCTCCCCTTTTTATATAAGTGGACTCTACCAGTGTTACTTGGAGTGCTGCCGTTAAATACCCAGAGTAGACAGTCAGTGAGTAGTAGTCGGATAGTGAGAGGATATACGGCGAGAGTGAGAGAATATACGAACGGAGATAGTGTGAGGTAACCTCTTGTAGAAGTCAGTTACAAGCACGTAGACTCTAAGGAAGTCCTACTTCGAGACTGTATATATCTATCTGTATTTGCTACTAACCGCGTTCCTGGACTACTAACAGTATTACTCTTTGTATGATTGTGTAAATACATTTTATTTCTTATATTTAATTATTGCGTTTGTCATTCCTTGGAGACCGAAGGAATCATCTCGGAATCCACAACAGGGGGAAGTGTATGAACCCCCAAAACAAAAAATATCAAAACAAATGTACAACATAAAGCTAACTGATGGTAGTTTGACCTGTCAAACCCTTAATAAGATTTAAGAGAAGTCGCTATATTCTTTGGACAAAATCAAATGGTTCTCTCGCTAAGGGAGAGGATAATGATAAAATAAATACGGCCATTGAAATCTAACCTTTCAAGATGAAAAAAGGGGTGTCAAAAACAAACTGGCGAGGTTGGGAATCTCAATTTGGATCATGTGAAAATACCTTATGGAGTTATCTACTAACCGAAGTTCTTTTGTTTATAAAGTGGATCACAAAAGGCCACATCCAGGTTTTCCCAAGACCGAGAGACCACGCCTCTCATTGACCTGTAAATATGAGAAGATATTTTTCCATAAATTCGAAATGAATCCTTACCAAATTATAATCAATTTTGTTTTTTTTTAACTAAGTCCCAAAGATATAAACACGTAACATGTTTTTTCACAAATCTGGTATTTTAAAACTACACATTTCTCAAAAGAACACGTACACAAAAAATAACGTATACGATTAAACATTTACGAATAACTTATTTTTAAAGCAATAAAAATATCTTTATATACTACGAAAATATTCTCAATGAAAAAAATACACGCTGTGAACTTAAAATTTAAATTAACTTTTGTTTGTAAATATATGTTTGTGATATTAATTTGCAGTGTAACACCCGCACAGAGTTCGCATTAGAAATTACCAGAATACTTACATTTATGCATAATTGTGCATGCTCAATTCGAATCTGGCTTGATAAATTTGATAAAATCTATCGTTTTGGAATTATCGACAGTGAAAGTTCGGATTCATTCGCGTCGCGGGCAGCCATTACTGGCGTTTTTTGTATACATTCGCTGCAAAATAGCTATCAGCGTAGGTATCATTGCGCAAACTGAGCGTGTCTACGTAAATAGTCCTCGTGCGCAGTAATTGAGACAAATTTAGACAAAAAAGATCAGTTCCGAGCTTAACTTTCCGTAATCTCCCGCGTTTACTTTTCAGCGGCGAATGGATGCAAACAACGCGAGTATTTGGCTGCTGCCTCCTCTCCTTTACTACCAGAATCTTTATGTATATAAGTGTGTCTTGGTTTGAAAAATACAATTTTACTGCTTGACGATATCTAATTGCCAGAATCCACGGTAGCAGATAGGTTGGTTATATATATATATATATATATATATATATATATATATATTACCCATAAATACAATTAATATATGGATACTAATAATATTTAAAGTTTATTAAAGTGTTTGCATTGTATGCCATATTCTAGAAGAAACCTCAGCAGAATGCAGAAAGCACTGGAGGGTTGTTTCGTCCTATATTTGGTACTCATCAGCAGTGCGCATCCACTACTGAGAATTGAAACACCGAACAGTTACGATACGAGACAAACGCCATACCAACTGTACCATGTATGTATGTATGTATGTATGTATGTATGTATGTATGTATGTATGTATGTATGTATGTATGTATATTATGAAACGGACTAAGCCCGACAATTATTTAAATATATTTTCTTTTTATACGTTATTTTTATAGACCCAAATATTTAAATAAATAAATAAACATAAAATAAAAAAAACAGTAGTGACTACATTTACCGGCCTGAATATCCGAGAAATTCCATTGAAAATATATGCCCTCCGACAGGAATCGAACCTGTATCCTACACGGAACCGTCATATAGCCTGACGTGCTATCCCATTAAAAAAAAACTGTAGCCAAATGAAATATATACTTTTATGTTATAAAAGAGAATAGCCATATACTTAGCGAGACAGACAGACAGGCAAGTCGTCAAATCCTTACTTATATATACTTAAATATTATTGTTGTGATAACAATTGTGACCTTTGTTTAAGTCTGTTCTAGGAAAACGGTATGTAAACATAGCGCGGACGATATTCTACGGACATCAAACATTGGAATGAACCGCTTAACCTGAATTTGTGAAGCTACTTATGGCATCGCATTTTGAACATGATTGGTGGATGCTGATGATTTCCGATAATTGGACAGGAACCGTTAACTCCAGTCCTTTGATGACAGAGCAAGGAGAGTCTTGTAATATTTGCCTCAGAGAAGTCACCACTTCAGACGTAATTCTCGTTTGTGTCCATGCCAAATTATACCAGCGAATGTTTCGTTTTCCTCCACAATCAGTTATGTGCCATGCGTGATACACGCTTAGGTGATCATGTATCTTTTGATACATGATTGACGAGGCAGATTTTTCCCGCGTTAGGTATATAAATATATATATATGTACACACACACATATGCATACATACATACACGTTAGGATGTCCGCTTTCTCGCCATGAGGCCCGGGTTCGAATCTCACCATGGTCGATTTGTCAGGTGATTTTTTGATTTTATCGGTCTGGGGAGGCAATGAAAAGTGCCTGAAAACGATACCCAAACCTTGAAATCTTGAACTCCTTGACGGCTAAAAAGATCTTACGAGGGTGTGAGCGCGCTGAACCTAATCAGATTGTTGGTCACGTGAGATAACGCTCTCTCTCTCTCACAGAAACTGTAACTAAGGCCCTCTCATCAGAGTTGTAGTATAAACAGGTGGGATTTGTGGGTGTTAAACAAAACACAAATGTGCCTGAGTAAGCGTCTACAACGGACATTCTTCGATAAGAGTGATCATGCTTCAATATATATATATATATATATATATATATATATATATATATATAGCTTATACGTTATTTTTATAAACACAATTATTTAAGGAAATGCACTGTTTGTAATGAAATTAAAATACGCTTCGAGCAGATATGATCGTTCGAGAAAGATCCTGGGAAATTTGTTGCTTAAAAAAAGTAACTTGGACTTTGCTAACTCGACGCTTCCACTGTAGCTGAGTTGTATAGCACGTTAGATCAAATGACGGTTGCGTGTAGGACACACATTAGATTCCTGTCAGAGGACACATAATTTCTCGGACATTCATGCGGGTAAATTTAATTAATACTGTTTATTATAAACAGAGCATTTATAAATTATTGTATGTATAAAAATAACGTATACACAAAAAAATATATTAAAATATTTATCAGACATAGTCCGGTTAATTATATATATATATATAAAAACACACACATAAATATATATCATAATTAAAGAATTCTTCGAGTCTAGAAGGAACCTCAACAGAATACAGAAAGCACTAAACGGCATATCGTCCTATATTTGGGACTCGTCAGCAATGCGCATCCACTACCGAGAATTGAAACACCGAACAGTTACGATACGAGGCAAACGCCATACCAACTGTACCAACGGGCCTCGGTGGCGAAGAGGTAACGAATTAGACTCGATATAGCGCCGCTCTAGTACATATTCCGAGTTTCCCTTTACCCATAGGACTGTGCTTCTACGAACCACCACTACTATCTCCAAGCCGCTCAGTCCAGAGCATTAGAAGCCAGTTCAAGCAAGTATATATAAATGATAAAAATTAGAAGGAGTTGAGATAATTATAATTAAGTAATTGATCGATTCTAGAAGAAACCTCAACAGAATGCAGAAAGCACTGAACGGCCGTTTCGTCTAATATTTGGGACTCATCAGCAGTGCGCATCCACTACCGAGAATTGAAACCCGGGCAGTTATGACAGGGGGGGAAACGGGCCTCGTTGACGAAGAGGTAACGAATTAAACTCGATATAGCGCCACTCTATCACATATTCGAGCTAAAGTGTATATATATATATATATATATATATATATATATATATATATATATATATATATATATATATATATATATATATATATATATATATTTATATATATAATTAATTCATTAATTCATCAGAAGAAAGAAATGCAGAATGCAGAAAGCACTGGAGGGGACGTTTCGTCCTTTTTGGGTACTCATGAGTGCGAATCCAGTGTGAACCGAGAACTGAAACTCGGACAGTTACGATAGCTACTAATTACAATTGGTTTGCCTCCTATCGTCTGATGAGTCCAAATATATCAAGAAACGGCCGTCCAGTGCTTTCTGCATTTTGTTGAGTTTTTCTTCTAGTCTCGATGAATTATAAATGATTATTTCAACCCCCTCCTTTCAGCTAGAAAGAGAAGACATTAAAAAAATGTTTTGTGGGACGAAGAGGATCATTAAACCCCTCAGTAATCTTACCAACATTCATACTCTGGCTTCCATCTTTAAAGTCCATTCAAGAACTCTCAAGAGAACGGTAAATAAGTTTTAAAAAGTAGGAAAAATGGATCAGGAGGTCGCAACAGCAAGAGGGATTATCATTTCAACTAAGAACTAAATAAATTCTAATTATTCAAAGTAGAGTCCAATAGTTTCATAAAAACCTCGAATAATTCCAGTAAGATATCTTTAATCATTTCTAAGATACAAGAGTTCGAGACTTAATCTAACAATTGGACAATCTTGCTGTTACATGATTTGTACAATTTTGCTGTTACACTTCGTATATATATATATATATATATATATATATATATATATATATATATATATATATATATATATTATAAATTAATTGATTTAAAATATGTTTTTCAATACACAGTTCTAACCATGTTTCAAAAATGGAAGCTAAAAGCCACGAATTTAATTTTGCAATTAAATTAAGACATTAGTTCCATTTCATCCTTCGAAATAGAACTAATGTCTTTAATTTAATTGCAAAATTAAATTCGTATTTTTTTCCATTTTGAAACATGGTTAGAACTGTAGCGAAAAAAACATATTTTAAATCAATTAATTATAATATTAATGCTCTGTAAATTTACATTGAGCACTATTTTTGTAAAAATAAAAATATCTATAAGAATAAGAACACCGGATTATATATCTTACTGTTCTTTTTTTTTTATTTAAACACACACACACACACACACACACACACACATATATATATATATATATATGAAGAACTATTTCATGTTTATGCCTGTTACTTGTGCTTCACATGTGACAGATATAGTCCCTAAAATGGCTACAGGAAAAGTGTCAATAACCAGAAAATGTTTTCTAAATCTTCACTGGTGGTATTCAATTCCAGAAAAGATGAAGTTTCTATTGACGGAACCGTTATGTAACTTCTTTGGTCTTCCCCTCCTACGCTGATCAAAGACCAGATTTCTGAAAAAGAAGGACATTTTAGTATTCCTCCTGAATATCTGTTCTGTCCAGAGGTGTTCTTAATACTCATTCCACAGGCAATCGTGACGATTTCAATGCTTGTAATAAAGCCAGTCTTGTAAACATTATATAAATTCATACAACATCTCCAGTGGAAGCAGCTACAAGTCATATGAGAAGAACTCCATCAAATAGTGACCCTGGATCAAGGATAGTTTTCTGAGCTTATACGTCAATATGACAAACCCAGAAATGCCTTGAAATAACTGAATATATTTCAAAAGTTTGATGATTTTCATTCCCAGGATGCCCTAGAATTATACAATTTATGTTTTTTCTTTCGAATCCATGAATATATGTCTTACTTTCTGTGGCGGTGACAGATGCTTTTGGCGATAAAGTCTAAAGATCACAACATGTCACCAAGGTAAATATATACATACACGGACATAGCTAACTCTATTTAAAACATCCCAAAACAAGGAGAAAACTGCCGTTAAGTAATATGGCAACAACAAGTTTGGTTTGTTTAGTTTTGTTTTACGGTATATCAATACCTCATTGGGTTATTTAATACCGACAAGAGTTTTATTGCTGGTATAAATTTTTTTCTCTCTCTCTCTTTCTTTCTTTCTTTCTCTCTGTCTCTGTCTCTCTGTCTCTGTCTCTGTCTCTCTCTCTCTCTCTCTCTATCTATCTATCTATCTGTCTATCTATCTATCTGTTTAGTTTGTTTTGTTTTACGGCATATCAATCTCAGTGGGTTATTTAATGCCGAAAATATTTTTTATTGCTTGTTATATCTATCTATCTATCTATCTATCTATCTATCTATCTATCTATCTATCTATCTATCTCAGTATATATTGGTTTGGTTTGGTTTGTTTTACGGCATATCAACCTCAATGGGTTATTTAATGCCGACAAGATTTTTATTGCTGGTTATATTTTCTTTCTATCTATCTATCTATCTATCTATCTATCTATCTATCTATCTATCTATATATATATATATATATATATATATATATATATTGGTTTGGTTTGTTTTATGGCATATCAACCTCAATGGGTTATTTAATGCCGACAAGTTTTTTTATTGCTGGTATCTATCTATCTATCTATCTATCTATCTATCTATCTCAGTATACATTGGTTTGGTTTGTTTTGTTTTCCGGCATATCAACACCTCATTGGGTTATTTAATGCCGACAAGATGTTTATTGCTGGTTATATTTTCTATCTATCTATCTATCTATCTATCTATCTATCTGAGTCTATACAGTATCTATCTATCTATCTATTTCAGTATATATTGGTTTGTTTTGTTTTACGCATATCAACCTCAACCTTATTATATATTGGTTTGGCTTGTTTTGTCATACAGTATATCAACCTCAATGGGTTATTTAATGCCGACAAAATGTTTACTGCTGGTTATATTTTTTATCTATCTATCTATCTATCTATCTATCTATCTATCTATCTATCTATCTATCTATATCTATCTATCTGAGTCTATACAGTATCTATCTATCTATCTATTTCAGTATATATTGGTTTGTTTTTGTTTTACGCATATCAACCTCCAACCTTATTATATATTGGTTTGGCTTGTTTTGTCATACAGTATATCAACCTCAATGGGTTATTTAATGCCGACAAAATGTTTACTGCTGGTTATATTTTTTATCTATCTATCTATCTATCTATCTATCTATCTATCTATCTATCTATCTATCTGAGTCTATACAGTATCTATCTATCTATCTATTTCAGTATATATTGGTTTGTTTTGTTTTACGCATATCAACCTCAACCTTATTATATATTGGTTTGGCTTGTTTTGTCATACAGTATATCAACCTCAATGGGTTATTTAATGCCGACAAAATGTTTACTGCTGGTTATATTTTTTATCTATCTATCTATCTATCTATCTATCTATCTATCTATCTGAGTCTATACAGTATCTATCTATCTATCTATTTCAGTATATATTGGTTTGTTTTGTTTTACGCATATCAACCTCAACCTTATTATATATTGGTTTGGCTTGTTTTGTCATACAGTATATCAACCTCAATGGGTTATTTAATGCCGACAAAATGTTTACTGCTGGTTATATTTTTTATCTATCTATCTATCTATCTATCTATCTATCTATCTATCTATCTATCTATCTGAGTCTATACAGTATCTATCTATCTATCTATTTCAGTATATATTGGTTTGTTTTGTTTTACGCATATCAACCTCAACCTTATTATATATTGGTTTGTTTTGTCATACAGTATATCAACCTCAATGGGTTATTTAATGCCGACAAAATGTTTACTGCTGGTTATATTTTTTATCTATCTATCTATCTATCTATCTCTCTATCTATATATATAATATATATATATATATATATATATATATATATATATATATATATATATATTGGTTTGTTTGGTATTTTACGGCATATCAACCTCAATAGGTTATTTTATGCCGACAAGATTTATATTGTTGGTAATATTTTTACCAAAAGATATTTTCTCAAAATGTATTACTGGTAATATTTCTGTTTTCAAAAATGTATTGCTCGTAATATTTTTCTAAAAAAGTATTGCTGGTAATAATGTATTGCCGGTAATAATTTTTTCTTCGAAACTTTATTGCTCGTAATATTTTCTTTTTTTACAAAAATATATTGCTGGTATTAAAATCTATTGTTCATAGAATTGTGACACTAGTTTGAGGGTTAACTAATTGCCCATAACTGGGACCCTAACAGGTGCTACCACCCCGGGTCAGGGTGGACCTGGAAACACCAGCAATTAAGATGTGGTTTAACGCTTCTCAAAACCTCCTGATCAGAGGCGTTGCAATTAGACATAGTTTATCGTCTTACCCAGGACAATGGCAACAACACGAACTTGTGTGCAATGATTCAGTCGAAATATTAATTTTGCTTTTTTACCTCACTTCTTTCCTGTTTTCTTTTCTTTAATATTTATCATTCTGACAATAATTGTCATAGTTTGTCAACCTAGAATTATAAATGTGAATATATCTTTCTATTTATTGCATTCTCTTTGTTATGGTCCATGTCCTTGTACCACGGTGATGGTCCAAGGTAGAACCAATAAAGAAGAACTCGAACACAGGTCCGGAATAACACAGATATATTACAAACAGGAATATATACAGAGAAGTAGAAGTGTTAGTACGAACAATCAGGTTTAGTAGAGAGAACAATGTAGTCTCGAACAGTATCACTATTCCAATGTCTTGTAGTAATTGTCTGAATGCGACTCTGTTTCGGACTGCCTCTGACTCGACTCTTGACTAGACTTGAACTACTGACTGACTCACGATATTCAGTCACCCCCCACGAGGGCATCATGTGGCACAGGGCCGGTTTAACGTGGGATCTCCTCGCCCGTGGCCTTGGCTCAAAAATATGCCCATTGAACCCGTATAAACGGGTTCAGGGTCGGTTTACCTCCCCGAAAGCGACTCCGCCCTTCGGCGTAGCCTCGTTCGGGTTCCTCCCCGCCCGAAAGCAGAGTTCAACCGGTCAGCCGGTCGTCCGACATAGACTGACGAACTACTGACTGACTGACTCCACTTCCTGCCTACTCCTGAGACGCAGTATTTATTAAGTATGGAATAGTCCATTATTATTATGGGTAAGATCCCATAATACTCTTCTATAACAAAATAACAGGAAAAGAATAAAAAAAAACAACTTATTTTTCCTTTTGTAATAATTTTTGAATGGTTAAAATCATTTTAATTGCGACAAAGCAAGGGTCGCGTGTCACTCCTCGAAAATTGAATTTGCTGCACTAGAAGACACCTTTTCCATCAAGAAGATCTTCATAACCAACAAGCCCTAAGAGGCACCTCACTTTCGCTTCAAGTATCGGTCACCAAACGTGGGTCGAACTTACGTCCATTGTTTAAGATCTGCGAGTGAAGGAGAGTAAGGAGGAAAAAAGCAGTAGGTGTAGTTTTTCAACAAAGATGACAGTTATGAATATGGCTATATCTTTGTATTTATTGTTTTGTCTCCGGTAACAAAACGAAAGAAACCTCATTTTAAAAAAAAAAACATATGTTATCTTTTCTAAAAAAAAATAATGGTTAAAACATTTTAAGTAATTTGTTTCGAATCTCCGTTCTGTAGAATCGTTATTAGCTGAACTCTGTTGAGATTCGCACAAGATTAGGGTCGCGTGACCCTCACCAAAAATCGAATTTACTGCACAAATGCTCGCCTTACTGAACGAGATCTCTCTGACTAATACGCTATGAGAGGCATCTCGCGTTAGCTACAAGTGTAGGTCGCGAAACGTGGCTTGAAATTACGGCCATTAATTTGGATCTACGAGACAAACTCCCTTAAATTTAATTCATACTTTCTTAGCTGTCATCTTCTGGAAATTTCCGCCTGTCGCAGATTTCGAAATCACGAGATTCAATGGCTATTCAAAAAACACGTAGTGAAGAAGAGAATAATATATGGTATCTGATTTGGTAACTGGTTATCAAGCACCAGCGATTCATAAAATATTAACATCTATGCTCTATTATGTGATATATTCGGTTGGTGAAAGGATTTAGTGCGGGGAAAGAAAGGGACAAAATTTTTTTGTCAGTAGATAAGGCAGCATTTTGTGAGGACAATGCTATCTTCAAATTTCCAAAGATATTTTAGAGCTGGTGAATTATCAGTTGTCAATAGGCGATCCTAATTCAGTTCTAAACAATTTTTCTGGTTTTCTGGTTTCATTTATATAAAAAAAAAGAACATGTATATATTTGAAGCTGCAATAGAATATAAATAACTGTCGCAAAAACTCTTTTAGATACACAGTCACACTTTCTTTTTTCTTTCTCTCTCTCTCTCTCTCTCTCTATATATATATATATATATATATATATATATAAGAACCAAGAACATGTACGTTAATCGTCTAGCATGCAAGTTCAAAGCCCAAAGAAAAAAACTTGATTCGAGTACGCAGCCTTCCTGACGATCCGCAAATATGGTGAAACCAAAGGAAAAGGTTGTCTGGCTCTCTAGGTTTAAATCTCTCTCTCTCTCTCTCTCTATATATATATATATATATATATATATATATATATATATATGTGTGTGTGTGTGTCTTTGACTTTCTATGTCTCTATGTAAGTTTCCCTTTCTAGGTTTATATCTATATTTCTTCTCTTTGAATTTTATATATATATTTAAATATATATGATATATATGTCTGTTTAAATATGTTTGATGTACATCCGAAATCTCTCCTTTCTCTATATATATATTATATATATATATTTGTATGTCTCTTTAAATATATTATATATGTCTCTTTAAATATATTATATATATCCGAAAAGCGCCTGAAAAAAAAAATAGTTGAAATATATATATATATATATATATATATATATATATATATATATATATATATATATATTATGAAATGGACAAAAGTCCGACAATTATTTTAAAACATTTTTATGTTTATAAATTCTTTTTTATAAATACAAATATTTAAGTAAATGCTTTTTTTTATAATAAACAGTTACCGAATGTCCGAGAAATTGTCATAGAAAATATGTGTCCTCCGACAGGAATTGAATCTGTATCCTACACGGAAGAGCCATATAGCCTGACGTGCTTTACCAATTTAGCCACGGAAGAGCGTTTCGGTTAGCAAGGTCGGTTTTACTATTTTAAAACTAAAAGTCTCCACGATTTTCTCTCGTACACTCATATCTGTATATAAACAGAGCATTTAAAATATGAAAGAAATTAATACTCACGACCCTCCAAATAAATGACCGAAGAAAATTCTCCTTCTGTTTACATGAAGACGTACTATATATATAATATATATATATATATATATATATATTTATATCACTGACTAATGTTGTAAACAATACATATGCAGCTACTTCTGAAGAAAAAAAGGTTGTCAATATTTTAGCATTTTTATCGTTTTTTATGTGTTTTTTAATTTTGAAGGTTTTTGTGCAAAATGACAAAATCAAAGCAGTGAAGCATTGAGGTGAGGGCACAAAGTGAAATTTTATTTAAAGAAGGCTACTCTCAAAGACAAATTGCCAAGAAATTGAATATTTCAAACATGAGGCGCAATATTCGCTATATGTGTAGTTAGAAACTGGTACAAATATTGACAGAAAATATGGTGGAATGCTGCTGAGAAATATTTTACTATTTAGAGCAAAAGAAACAGAAACTGCTCCAGAGTTGACAGGTGAACTTAATTCCTGTCGATAGCAACCAGAGTCGTTCTTAACTGTGAAAAATCAAATTAAATCAGCGAGAGCTCAGAGGATGCATAGCTAGGAAGAAACCCCTGCTAAGGAAGGTGAATATGCAGAAAAGACTGTTATAGGCAAAAAAGCATAAGAAGCGAACATTGAAAGAGTGAAAAAATTCACACCCTTGTGCAAATTAACTGAAACAACTGGTTTAGTTTCCTTTCTTTCAACATACGGTTAGTTTTACACCCACTGGTGTGAAAGGGCGTAATCGATATCTTCTTTTTTTCTCTCTAAGATTACCTCATTTACAATGGTGTGCAGTAATATGAATCTATTTACGAGGTGTATGATAAAATGTGTTTGGCCTTGAAAAATCTTGCGTCATCCGTGATTGCATGAGATTTTTATCACGCCCAGACACGACTGTCTCGACTGTCGATTAGTTGTCCTATAGCCATTGTCTGCGATGGACGTTACTCCAAATAAGCGTATGAAAATTGCAACGCTGCATGTACACACTGGCAAGCCTTACCAGTGAGCAAATCAAAGTACTATAGACTGTCGCGGAAACCCTCCTGATTTAAATCCAGTCGAGAATCTGTAGTCAATCTGCAAGGGACATATAAAATAATAAAATGTGCATTGGGTGATGATTGATTAAAAAAT